ACTTCTGATAACATTTTTAACTTTCTGACAACTACTATACTGAATGAAAGAAGAGTGCCGTTTCACTCTTACCATGATCTGTTTCGCTAATTATCAATTTGCCAAGTTCATCTACTCCAGTGAAATGGGCATCGCTCCCTATGTTCCTGTGAAATAAATTAAGTTACTTTTCTAAAAAAAGGACAAAATGCATCCTCTAACCTGCTGCCGACGATATTTGCCTTTCCAGCTGAAACGTCGAAATGGACTTGGACGATATTCCGACACCATCTAAAAACAGTAGCAAATCAGGCTGAGACGTACTAGGTTTGCCGGTGCGACCATGCATTTTTGCGCTAAACTTGAAGCAGTCAGGTCGATTGATGTCAATCCCGGCGTTCGAATTTTGTAATCGTTATTCCAAAAAGCAATCCAACGGGAAGGCTATTAGTAATCGTAATTATTTGTAAATCAATAGCAGCATAACAAACAGCAGTTGCATATGAAAATTTAACTTATAAAAAATTAGGGTTACCGAAATCACTGTACCTTAGAGTGGCCGCGTTTAACAAAGTAAAGAATTAACTATCATAGCAGTGTCTGCCCACAAAACCATTATTTACCTTAACTTTTGCTGAGAGAAGTGATCGGAAGCGTGATTTACAATGTGATGCTGAGCGTCCCGGAATCATCGTTGCAATGCGTGACCATTCACCTGAAGAAATCGGTATCTTTGTCTTAACTGAAAGCATTTTGCATCTTCTGGGAATGAAAAAGCATACTAACGCATTTACTATAATAATCTAATGGACCGAAACACTTCTTGCCATTACAATAATAATCTCATAAATTTTCTAATTTTCATTTCTTACTTTCCTTTTTCTTTTTTTTTTTCTTTATTTCATTCCTTCTTACTGTAACTTTCTATTACTCCTATAATAGCACCACAAAAATCTTATTTTGCTGGGAAACATTTAAACAGTGCAGAGATATAGTACTATACTAATACAATCATGAAATGAATATCGTCGTGTTTTCCTTTACGTGCGCAACTTTTCCTTTGGAAATCGCTCAAGTTTTGGTCTTTCTCAGAAAAATTTTGATTAACTACGATGCAAGCTATATCAATAAAGCAATGATCGGTAAGTATGAATTAAATTTTTCAACGATTCGGGGCATTCCACATTTATTATAAACGCTACGGGGGCTAAACAGCATTAAATTATTGGTGTTTGATATTATGAAAAGGATACAAACGAATTACTTTAAACGCATAAAAAGAACAGAACCTCTTCCAAAAATTTTGATTCCTTCCAGCAATTTCTCATCTTCGTCCACAGTCCATGGCTCAAT